GTTCCGCCGCCCACATGCGTGGCATCACCACACTAGACTCTGATCACAAACACAGAAAGCACCGCTACCATCATCATCACTCCCGGATATAAGCCCCTGGTGTCTACCCGCCGATCCGTTCTTGCATGAACGACTGCTTGCTTTGGTGAATCTCTCCACTAGAACGCTGCATCCCATTCTATACCGACCGCAGCCAACTCGTTCACGCCGAACAGCAAGACCTCCAATCAAGGCGAGAACGAATCTCTAACGAAGCAGCCCGAAGGGGCCCCGTTCCTGACGGTGTCAGACCTGGCGTTCCCGTCTGGCAAAATACGAATACAGCGAGAAGTAAGGGCAGGCATAAGAGCTTCGTTGAGATCAAACCAACATGATTGTCGGTGCACCAAGCAATATAATGGCAGGAAAACTGACCTATACCCGATCTCCGTGACAAAGAGGATCAACACGATGATCCATACCGTGGAGCCCAATGTGGCGAGCACTTGCACGAGGGTGGGAGCAAAACTCCAACGTAAGAAGGCTTCAGGTTGCGAGAGCTCTTTGAAGAGACGATGGGCCACACCAGTGCTACGGATGACATGAACAGACAAAGGTCGAAGGATTGACATGACAGAAAGGATCCCTTGTGAGGAGCAGCCCGACGCAGAGATTCCGTGACGCATTTCAACGCGTTCAGGTTAGAGACCAGATGAACGCAAGTCCAGCCCCGTCTACTGAGAGGCTCGATCGACCACCAACAGGTACCTTTAGCTGATAGCTGTATCGCCTGACCAGAAGTCTGTTCCTTACCACTCTTCGGATGCTCTCTCTGTACGTTCCATGCAACATCGAACAAGAAGCGCCGACCACGCGTTACCGTTGTAGAGCCAAGGATCTTATTATGCATGACCGACGAGAATCGACCAGCTTTGGTTCGCATCTAACTTGGGGACTTGGAAATCACCCTCGTCTCTCGAAGCCGGACACGATCCTGGCGAGAAAAGACCCGATAAAAATCGCCATTGCCCATGGGGGCTATGACCAGTACTGGTCGCTCGAAACGGAGTCCTGTTCGTGTGTTCTCCTCTGCACTTCTGATAATCGTGATACAGACAGGTCCCACTGATCAAATACGGCTGA